TTGTTTAATTTCTCTAGGCAAGGAATATTAGATGCCAGACAAGTAGTAAAGAATGCAGATTGCATTTCATGCTCTCTGTATTTGCTGAAAAAGAGTAGTGGGCTCGGGAGGTGGGGGTGGGGGGGACAGAGGAAAAGGTGGGGGTGAATATTCCTTTACAGAGTGATCCTCTGTGGGCCTCATTTCTTGAAGCAAAGAAATTCCTGAAAAGTATTCTTCCAGTTTGGTGAATGCTTTATTAGAAATGGGGAGGGTTGCCACTTAAAAGAACCCTGTAATTAATCCCATGAAGAGGATCATCTCTTTTTCGGTATTGCAAATCATCAGTCTGTTTGGTGAGTTCGGAGTTGCTTGGACCAGAGTATGCTTCTGGCTCAGCACCCTGTCCCTCAGCCCTGCACTCTTCGGCAAAGTTTTCTGTGGTACCTGACGGGCTTTATTTGGTGATGCTGCTCAGGAACTCATCCTGAGGCCTGGAGTGAGTGGGCCAGAGTCCGTGGTAATCAGAGAACGTGTGAACGGCTGGCTGCAGTTGGCTCAATGTCGGAAAAGCCCTGGCAGGGTGTAAAGGGCTCCATCTTAGGGATAGTAGTAGAAACCTGTCTAAATATATCCATGCCCTAAAAAGGAATGAGTGCTTGGTTCTGAATATGGTGCTGGGGAAATCTGCATTCAGGTATAGCATCTGCATTAGCAAAGGAAGGAAAATCTTCACTACTCTTTATGAATTAGACATCCAGGGCTCAAACTGGTCTGATCTCCCAGCTTTTATTAGCTTTGTTAAGAACTAGACATGTGGATGCCATGTTAGCGCACTTCAGCCTCTTAGATTCACCGAAGGTCACCACTGGCAGGGACCTTCCAGACCAACATATTTCAACACTCAGAACTATTTATAGCTGTTACATAATAAAAAGGTTCTGCACCTAGATAAACTTGGGGAATGCAGAATTCATCAAGGCAGGCAAATTTCTTTATTGTGGAACATCTCAGCCTTTAGTGTGCTAATGTGTCTGTAGATCTGCTAAAGGGAGACTGTCTCTTCCAAACCTATCTGACTGTAGAGCATCTCCAGACTTGCCTGCGTCTGGCCACGCTTTCAGAAAGCTTATTCAAGAGCAGCTCTCTCAGACTTAAGAACATGCTTCATTGTCACCTGGGGCGGGGGTGGGGGTGGCTTGTGAAATGCAGACGCTTGGGCCCCACGCCTCGAGTTTCTGCACCTCTGACATGTTCCCAGGTGATGCTGATGGCCTGGGTACCACACTGAGAAACACTGGTCTAGATCTATCCCTTTATTCCACAGAGAAGAAAATGGCTAAATCAAAGGATATTTATTAATAATAGCTACCATAATTGAGCCAGGTACCTGGCCAGCACGTCTCATGATTATTTCTAAAGGCAAGTGTGACGATGGGAGTCAGCTACTCGGAAGCGGATAGTATAGTACGAAGAAGCACACTGGGCTTGTCGTGAACCGCTGTAGGCAGGGCCTCCACCTGGAAACCAGTCAAGGTCTCCCTGTCACTGGCATTGTTGGGAACGTGAAGTCTATGTATTTTAATTCGGTGGGCTTTCGTTTCCTCATCTGTGAATGAAAGAGGATGGAAATCATTTTTATGGATACTTTCTCTAGCATTCAATCTTTTCTCTGAGTTTTTTTTTTTTTTCTGGGTGTTCTCCTACTCTGCCTAATCTATCACCAGTCGCAGGAGCTGGTACCATGCTAAAGCTGTTAGAGACTTCAGTGTGCCCTTGAATTTTAGAAGAGCATTTCTGAAAAGGTATGATAGTAGAATCCCAAGCACTGTGGCTCCTGGATAATGAATTGTAATAGAAATAACTGTTATTGCTATTAAGTTCTAGTGGAGAAGTGTCCCTTGGTCTTCCGTGTTGCTTATTCACTTACATGTCACAGTCTATGTGAGGAGCTTAGCAGTCTCTGGCACAGAGGAAATAATCGGTGCTGGTTTGGATTACAGATATTATGTTAGAGATTCTTACAAGGATTTCAGAGGCCCCTGGAATCGTACACGGGGTTGTGAGTGTGCAGCTTGAGCATGTATGGGTGTGCGAGGACAGCACATTTTTCTGCGGAAGGATCACTGCCTTACATGGAAGGTTAACCGTGTAGATACAATCGTTGCTGAACTGTCTGTGGAACAGGAGTCAGAAGTGTGGTTTTCCCCGGTGTCCTAAAGCACCTTAAAGCACTCCCGAGACAATAGGCAGGAATGGCCACGAGTGACCTGGGGCCAAAACCACAGAACAAGCAGCCCAAGTGGGTGTAAGGATGACCCCCATGTTTTCCCTCTGAGGACAGCAGTGATTATCACAAAACAGCTTGTTCCCCTGGGCCAGCTGCCTGAACCCGGGTTTTGCACCACAAGCCCTGCTGGTCTGCCCCTCTGTGTGAAACCTTGATGAGAAGCTCTGGCTGGGGCCTGGGGGGACACTGCCCTCTGCTGGAAGGCAGGCGCACCTGCGCCTCAGAGCTGGAAGAGGAGGCAGCCTTGGGCATCTGGAACACGGTGAGAAAAGCCCACCCGCTTGGCAAGCGCAGGACTGTCACAGGAGTGATGAATTTCGGGGCCTATCTTTCCTCCATCACCACCACATCCTCCCTGAGAATCAGCCAGTGGACCGACTTCACCTCAGCACAGCTCAGCACAGCACAACTTATTCCGGGCCCCACAGTTCGGAATGTGCCTACTTGTCACCCTGGAGTGCTCAGGGGGGCTAGACCAGGCTGACTATAGTGGCACTCTGGCCTCACAAACCGCAGGCATGTGTGTGACAGAGAGTGTGAGCGCTGCGTCGGTGGAAGAGGCCAGTGTGTGGGAGGTCGTCAGAGGCTGGCGCGGGAGGTGAGGGGCTTCCTTCTCGCGGTCACCTGCACTGAAACAGGAATCATGCCATCCACTCTGCGGCTCCCCCCACCCCCCGTCAGCCCTCCCTCTTCCTGTGTCTCCTCTGTGAAACAGCATCATGTCTTGGCCTTGTGGGGCTCAGCGCCCCAGCCCCACACCCAGGCAGCACCAGTCGCCACCACTGCGCTGCCCTGATCCTGGCGCACACAGCCCCACCCCCTCCCACTGTGTGTTTAGGTCCCCAGCCCTCCACCTGCCACTGGGCTGTGCCCCCGTCCCACCCTTTACCACCTGTCTCAGGAAGGCAGCTCCAACTCTGCCCTTTGCTTAGTGAGCAAGTGGATTCAGATGTACAAAGCCATAAGCCATGGGTAGGTACAAGTTTTTTCTCTGTCACTTTCTCTGTCTTCCTCTCTTCCCTTCTGCCCCTCCCCCTTCCCGTCCTCTGTCTTCTCCCTTCCAGTCCTCCTGCCTCTCACATTTCCCCTATTTCTCTCTTTCATCCTATATACACCCCTAAATTCCCAGAGTAACATGTTTTTCAGCCTACCTCCATGCAGAGTTTCTGGTCCCTCATCCCCTTAATTGCTATGTGTACTGAAAACGACGAGCTTCGGTGCCTGCTGGTGGCTCCGGGGAATACAGCTTTGCCCCCTTACAATACAGGGGCCCCGCTTGAGCTGGTAATCTGACTTGTAGTAAATCTGTTATGCCCCGCCCCCCCTGCCACAGAGTCTCTAGCACAACTGGCCCAAAGGGTTCCCCGAGATGAGGTGTAGGTGGAAGCTCAGAAGGGTCCTTTTAAGCCCCTTTTTCCCAAGTATGTGAGACCAGGTACCTCTACCTCAGGTTTGGGGAGTCGCCCAGTGCGGCCCCTCACCCTGCAGTAGCATCCAGAGAGGAAGTAACCACTGTGTGGAGGCCGTGGGGCAGAAGGAAAATCCAAGGACTCCTTTGTGGAGACCAGAGCAAAAGGCTGGGTATACTATGTGGGTCTTTCTAGGACCCACTCCTAGACAGCCAGTTTTAGAATCAAGTCAGGAGAGCTAGTAAGCCTGAGCCCAGTGGGCCCTGTGACCACATGAGGTGTCATTCAGAATACCCAGGCCTCAGCTGACTTCCCCACTTGTAATATCAGGTAAGATGAGGTCTTATCAACCCCGAGTCCCTGGGTTCTGCAGAGCTGCCTCGCAGGCCTCAGGACCCCTGTACTTCCATTTCAACCAGAATGCTGCTTCATCTGTTTATGCTTTGAAGATATGAAAAGGATGCCACATGGAGAAGTTTCTACTGCAAAATACATTTTATTAAACCACAGTCATAGATTTGTCAGGGCAAAATTCCTCCCAGCATCACATCTAAGAATATTTTCAGGTCATTTTGGGTCAGACCCAAGTCAGAGTGACCTGCCACCCCCCTGAAGGGGCATCCAGCTCTCTTTTATGCAGCTTCCCCTCTCTGGTGCAAGTTGAACTCCCTCCCCCACTCCTAGCGGTGCTCCCTGGGTTGCTCATCGGGTGCTAGGAAGCCTGTCCCTCAATGTGAGCAGAGGAGCCGCAGTCAACAATCTCTTGCCTCTGTCCAAAGGCTCAGGAGCAAAGTGGATGTTGCCAGCAGAGGGACATTTGTTAAAGCCGAAGCGCACTGGCCCTTTTGTTTGTGTTTTCACATTCTTAGTACAGACCTGGGAACAATCTGCCAGGTGGACAAAGCATCACTCAATCCATTTGTGTTTGGGCCTGGCCTTCCACTTTGTAAAATTAATGGAAGACATGGGGCTGCAGGCCCCTCCGCAGAATGAGCAGAGGGCAGAGTGTACCCGACCCCCTACCGTGCCCAGAAGCCAGAACCCCTTTTCTAAAAAAATAGGAACAGAATCTCAAGTCCTGGCCAGACCAGACCGCTGGCCTACACGGTCATGAGCTGCTCCTTCCTTACCAAAGCAGATCCATGTCTCCACTTGCTTAGAAAACCGTTAAGCAGCCTTTCCCGTGTGGGGGAGACTTGCTCACAGGCAAGTGTGAGTGGGCATCGGGAAAGGGGATGGCAGCCCAGCAGGATGCTCTGTGAGGAATGAGAACATCAGATGGGAGCCCTGGTTCACAGCCTTGTCCCCACGTGTCTTTCCAGATGCGCTGGCTCCCTCCCTCCGAGGCTACTTCTCAGGGCTGGAAGTCCCGTCAGTTCTGCTGAATACTACGTAAGTACTTGGTTTTAATAACAATTGTGCCCAGTGCATAGACGAACCTGGGACATAGCAGACATTCAGTGCTCAGGCAGCGCTCATCCCGTCTGGGCACCCACACCTTCCTTTGTCTGTTGTTACACTCACTTGGCAGTGCATCTCTTCCAAGGGATTTTAACCTGGAGTTGAGGGAGAAGTGAGGAATGCTATTCTAACTTGAAAAACTGAATCCCGGCCTTCCCACTTGACGAATCAGCAGTTAACGCTCGTTTCTATAGGGCAGCTGTCAGGGAATTTTATTAGATAATTGGAGTTCAGCTGCTGCAGTTCTGAGGAAGGTTTACCAAAGAAAAACCTTCCTCAAGTTACAGGCAGGCATAAGTCATCTATAATTTACATAGTAGTTTATTATGGGAGTCTTAGAGATTTATCAGAATTAACTTTCCTGCATGCACATATGCATATTACAACTTTGGATAATGTTCGTAAAATTTCCTGGGGCTGAGAGACCCAAGAAAGAGGCTGACAACTCCACCAAGACATAGAGAATTTATTAAGGGAACTTACACAAGGTGCATCTTGGGCAACAGCAAGACCACGTCGACATGCTCTGCGCTGCATGGCGGACACTAAAGAGTTACACAGAACAGTGCAGGATAAGTGGGGTGCTGGTGTGTGACTGGCCTCAGAGAAGGGACATACACCTTACAGCTCTTGCCTGGGGCCTGTTCTGGGAACCAGCTCCCTGGGGGGCAGCGGGGAGGGGTCGACCAGACACTCTCTGAGGGGACGTACGGAAGCAGTCTCTATTCTGGCCCGGATCTGGCTTGTGGGTGAGCAGCGGTCAAGTCACAGAACGAACACTCCTCCACAGATAAGTTCAAATCTTTCTAAAATATCTCGTGTTCGTACTGATGGCAGACGCTGTGCTGTCTCCAACTGGCTTCCTTAAAGTTTCTTCAGGGAAACGATATCCTAAATTGGCACCTTTGTGTCATTTTATCTTAGGCCTAACTTTGCTTCAAAGAACTACCAAATGAATTTTTTTCCTATAAATGAAGAATTTCTATAAAATTCCAAATGCTGTCTTTAGTTCAATACCTTGACTGCATTTTTGTTAAGTACAAAGCGCTATTACTTTAATTTGGTGTGAATTTAGGGAGTCTGCCCTAAAGTCTTTCAGATGGTAGAGTTCTACAGTCAGCCGTCTCTATTTACATGATTCCTTCACAAAACAAGAAGAAAAATGAGAATACGGAGGAGGTAGATCTTAATCCATTCAGAAATGCGAAAGAGGTCACGGAATTATGTACCTGGACCTAATGCTGACACAACAGTCATAGTCCTTTTCTTGGAAAGCATCTATTCTAAGACAAAAATACTTCCAAATTAAACTAATGCTCTTCGTCCACCATTAATACTGAATCCCATGTGCCTTTGTTAGGTCACTTGAGGCCGTCGAGATTCTTTTGAGGAGGTACTGTGCAGGGAAAAAGTGGCCTCTGGTTGACAGGTTCAACTTAAATGTTTCAGACCACTCACTGGGAATACAATGGAGAAGTGGTGGATGCTGGAGCAGGCCTTATTCGGGTTGGCACCCTGTCCGTGAGGAGGAAGGAGAGCACTGGATAAGATTTGCAGAGTTCTGGGATTTATTTTTCACAGGCGTGGTCAGCAATGTCAAATACTTTAGGACAATTGAGTAAGATAAGAGAATTCCTTGAAATTTGGCAGTTTCGGTAGGCAAAGTGTGGTGGTGGCGTAGGGCCACCACCATGTACATATAGGCCAAAGGGAAGACATGATCATTAAGCCCAAAAGATCCTGTGCTTCATTTGTATCAGGCTCACTTAAGTTTTTGCGAACTGTCCTTCCTCACTGACCCACTCACCGAAGTCTAGAGGCGGTGGTGGAGGCTAGCAGTTGCCCCCTTTGTGAGTACAGCTTACAAAGCACTGTAGAATCTGCATAAAGATGTAATGTCTCCTGTGGCTGCACTGTTTGTTCTGGGACAGAGTCCTTCCTTGGGGTCTAGAGAGTGGAGGAGGGAAGGTGGCTGGGAAAGAGGACAGATAACTGTGCTTGTTCCCACTGCAGTTGGGGCTGAGACTCTAGCTTCCCATCCTGCCTGAAGTCAGATCAGTCCAGTGTGGACTCACTGCTCAGACTCTTCTAGGCTCCTGGGTCAAGTCTCTTCCAAGAGAGCTCTTACGCAGGCTATGTAATCTCAGGGAAATGTAAGCTAGAATTAAAAATAGCGATGCTGATGAAATCCTAGAAACATTTTACAGCAAAGCAAGTATCTCAGGCCAAATGAAGGGTAGGTGCCAACTACTGGCATCACTGGCCCACATGGCCTTTCTTCCCCCATGGAAAGATGGCACCAGAATAGAAGAGCAAGAGTGACATCTGGTATCAGACATAATGACCTGTACGCAGACTGGCTGCCGCTTCTTATGTATGTAGCATCAGGATGGTGTCCTTCCGACTCCTGAGGAGTCCAGGGCCTGCTCTCAGAGGTCCTTCAAAGGTCTTTAATTTACCCACTTCCTACTTCTAAAGGGTAATCAGTGACTAGGCTAGAAGAGTAAATAAGCTCCTCATTCTTTAAATAAACACATTATATGTCTGCTATGTGCTAGAAATAAAACTTGAGGAGCTTAAATTCTAATGATCAAGAGCGTGGACACATTTTTAAGAGAAAGGAGAGAGGGACTGCTCAAGATGCTCCAAGGTGAGCCTGCTGTGGGGAGAGCTCCCAGGTCAGGCGTGTGTACCTGAGTGTCAACCAGCATGAGCGGCGAAAGTACTACTGTCAGAGCGGTAGGTGTTATTGTTCAGCATCTTCCCTGATGGATGGTGTTTAGTTGGGCTACAAGTTATGTCTGTTGCATCACTAGTTTTGCTAATGGCCCAGCCCTGTGGCAGAGAACCCCAGAACATATGGTAACGACTGAAAATGATTAATTTCTCAGGACTGTTGAGAAAGCATGAGCAAATTTTCAGTCACTCCTTCCAGGGAATGAGTTACACAGCTTTCCTTGTTGGGTACCCAAATGTAGTTAAATCCAAAAAAGGGGGCAGGGGAGAAGAGTTAGGAGTTGGGGTGGATGTGGGTGTTAAGAACTCATGAGAAGTCCCTGGCCATGGGCCAAGACCACAGCATAGAAATGGTAAGCGCATTAGTTATACCCTCCCCAATTAGAGAAGAACATGGCAAGAGATAAGACCAAAATCTGAACTGCTTTTTCCTTATGTTTAGTTTTGGGAGAAATGGCCTAGTTTCTTTGGCTGTGAGCATAGGGGCCTTGGAATGGAGCTGTCATCAGGAAAGTCCTAGGTGCTGGATGTCAAGGCAGAACTTGAAGCTTAGCAGAGCAGGAAAGGTACTGGGTCTTCTTGCAGGCCCAGACAGCTGCTGTGGCTCCTGCAGTCTCCCCTGCCTCCTCTCAAGAAGAGACCCAGGTGCCAGGGTCTCACACTGCAGTGTGCCCAGAAGCCAGGGTGGTACTTGTGACTGATGTGACGTTCCCCTTTCTTCTATTAACCAAGGTCTCCATGTCACACTTAAGTTCATTAGCACAATAAATATTCGGTGAACATCTACAGTGTATAAGGTACCGTTCTGGGTGCTGAGGATAAAACGGTGAACAAAAGCAGGCAAAATCCTTGCCTTCATGGAGCTGACATTCTGTAATGGGGAGAAGACGGGTAATAACATACTAAAAATAAACTTAATAGGTGAGATGGTGAGAAATGCTAAAGGAAAAAAGGAAAGTAACAGGGTCAATGTCATGGGTTGGCAGGCACAGGAGAGCAGAGCAGGCAGGGTCAGCCTGACACCACTTGAACAGAGACCCAAAGCTTTCCCAGACTTACAAGGGGCTCCTTTTTCAGAACAGACCAAACTTTATTCAAATTTAGAGAATAATTTGACTTCAGTGATCCTCTTCTTCTTGCCTCCCCCTTTTGCTAAATCAAAGTAAATGAGTTTGAAATGCAGCAGGCGTAAGCCAGGTGAGACTTTACAGTGTTGACAGAGAATACTACCCAGGCAGCCTGTGCAGCTTAGCCCTGCATGCTGATCAGCCCTTCCCTGAGAGGTTTCTCCATATTCCCAGCAAGGAGCCATGGCCCTAGTTCTGATTCCCAGAAGCCCTGAGGCCTGTTATGCTTCCCGCGTGAATTATAAAGTAGGGTCAGGCCTGAAACCTTGCCCCCTTGGGGCCCCAGGGATGGGGGTGGGTACCCCTTCCAGCCACTGCTGAGTCCTCCAGGCTTTGTAAATTAAAACAAATCTCTGCTAACCACACAAGCACTAATTGAGCTCATCTCAACCCCAGTCAAAGCTCTGATCCCAGCCATTGTTTTCTGTAAGTCTGGCTGGGAAATCTGCAACCCCCAAGCACGGGCACCAGGAGAGCTGCCTGCCTGGTCCTTGAAAGTTCAAAGAGGGCAGCCACGTGTTGAGACCAGGACACTGAGTCTCAGAGGAGCTGCAGAGCAGTCACAGGTCAGGGCCACCCACAGGAGCCTCTGCCCCAACCCTCCACTTCCGCTATCCGTCTCACCAGGCCAACAATGGAAATTGAGACCTGTGTGCTCACTGTAACGTAAAACGTGAACACATCTGAACCTCCCTCCAGTGTTTTATGTTCTTGGGTAGTCACCTTCCCGGGTCTCTGTAGACTCAGTCCAGGCATTCTCTGCCCACCAGGTGAGCACCGTTGTGTGAACAAGGTGTTGTTGATGTAGAAAATGCACAAAGAGCAGCTTGGTGATAAAACCCCATACTCCGAGACCAAGTGACAGATAGGGTCCCTGGACTCTTAATTCATCAGTCCTGAGTCATACCAAGAGGAAATCTTTAGCTTTTCTTAAAGGACAGGCATCCTACAAACACAGCCTTGGTGGAGCGTGCTCAGGTCTGTGGCTGACTCTGCCGCTACAGCACCTCCACCTCCGCGTCAGGTAGGCGTTCTCTCCCTCCTTCCCTCCAGTGCTCTTGGCAAGCTTGGAGAGGATGAGAGAAGTTGGGTGAGCTTTTAAGTTTTTGTTTGCAAAGATGAATGTTTTCCTGTCCTGAAATAACCCCACTATTACCAGGAAACTAGAATCACATCAACTTGTCTTTTAATGTTTTTATGGTGAAAATCTAGGGAAAACATTTTTTTCTTAATTGAGAAGAGAGATGTCCTAGGAAGGCCATCTTTCCTTCAGCCTCACCCAGAATCCCCAAGGTGGGTTTCAGCTGAATCCCCGAGGGCCACGGGGCCTCCTGTGCCCACAAACCTGCGAGACCCTTACAGGGTCCAGGGTTTGCCGCTGTCCATCGTGCACTCCTGCTCACGAAGCCCTGCGTGCGAGGAACAGCCAGCCTCCTGTCTGCAGGAAGGAGAGCACTGCTGACCGAGGCTGAAAATCTGAGAAATATTAGTGGGGAATGGGGGGAATTAGTGTCCAGTGCTGGAATTCAGGCTTCCTTCCATGACACCAGAAATTCTCATGAAAACCAGCTGGCTCAGAGGCAGCCGCTATGCCTGCAGGAAGAACAGTAAAGATTTATTATTTGCTAGGCCTCTGCACCTTCCTATTCCAGAATTCTCAGGCCCTAAGGAATAGCAGGATATGTTCACAAATGTTTCTTTTTGGTTTTTGTTTTCCAGTAGGTGCTTGGACCAAAGTTTTGCTCAGTGGTGTACATGACACCTCAGGGTTCTACAGAATTGTTTTTATGGCCTCGGGCTGACCAAAGCTGTGGTCTGAGGCAGGCCCTGGAGTTGGCGAGGTTTTGGGCTCTTCCTCTCTGTGGGGGACCTCAGGTCCCATGCCTTTCCTCGGGAGGGCTGCGGACAGTCTTAAGGTTCCAGCCCATAGGAAAGGCAGCCTCCGGGTGCTGGCCTTCTGCCCCCAGGTGATTTTCACCCTCTGTTCTTGACACCCCCCATCGGGCATTTTCCAGATGCCTCCTCTCAGGCCTTGGGGAGCCACACTCCACTGCCTGGTACCTTCCTCCCTGGCCCCTGAAAGCCTCCCTCACTTGTTCCACCACATCTCAAGCTGGGCTGGCTGTCCTGGCGGTGTTCATGCCACTGATCCAACTTCATGCTCAAGTAGTGCTTGTCCTCCACTCAGCAGTGGAGGCCTTCGGTCCCTTTGCCTTTGACGCTCTCAGCTCTTTGCCCTCAAAACAGGTTGTTCTTAAAAGCCTAGGGAACCATAGCAGCAGGCCAGTCCACGGGTGGATTACTGCACAGTTAATGGTTTTAATGGGTGATCTCTTTTTCCATCCCAGGTTCCAGGTGTGTGATGGTGGCTGCAATCTGTCTTGTGGGTATTAACACAATCTTCAATGGTGGCTACTGGTCTTGAGCTATTCTACAAAACTGGAGCATGCTGGTGAGTTCCAAAGTCAGAGGCTGAACAGGCCCTCTGGGGCAGCATTGTGTCCTAGGGCAGAGCATGTTGGGACCATCACCCAGGCCCCAGGGGGTGGGGCTCATCAGTCTGGGTGTTACTACCTCTCCTGGTGATCCTGTTGGTTACGCCAGGTTGGGACATGCTGGTGTGGAGCTCGGGGTCAGAGGCTGGCTCTTCATGGCCTGCTTAAGGAATGTCGTCGCAGGATAGCAACTGACAGTTTTGCATCCCAGTACATGGTCCTCAGCACAGCCTTCCTAGGTTGGGCTGACACTTAGATAAGGCCATTAACACCTGCTTACCCAGCATCATCATCAATGAGATACCCCGCCCAAGGGAATTTACAAATAAATGAAGCCTTTCCTTTAAGCCCTTAAGTGCGTATATTCTTCCTGTCTTACTAATCCAATTATACTGAATATTATGTAGCCCTTTCTGGAGGACGCAGGGACATTTTTATGAGCCTCTTCATAAATAGGGCATCTCTGAGTTTTACAGGGTTCTCACCGAATTCCTCCAGACTGCTGGGCTTTTCTAATAGGTGATGACTTTGGTCATCTGTCTGCCTTTTCAGTCAATACCAGCTGTCACTTCTCTGTTTCTAGCAGTAAGAATAGTCTTAAAACAAGAATATAGCATTCCCAGAGGTGACCTGCCTGCCATACCCCACTTGTAGGGGTTTCCAGTCTCTTTGGAAAGCTTGATCTAGAACCGCAGCAATGCCAGGGGCAGGCTGACAGCGGTTATCTCAGCCCAAATAAGGTGGCAAATTTCATCCTTATGAGGGGCCTCTAAAGAGAAGATGAAGTCAGAAAAAGGGCAAGATTCCTGCTAAGGACAGAGAACCAGGCAGTTCTGGCCAAGGAAGTCATTACCACATTTTTGAGGCTTAAGTAATTTCATGTTCAGAATAGTATCATTTGGTGCCTGTGCAGAAGTACACACATTCGGGGTGCGCTGGGTTCTGCAGCCTGCCTCCCCTGCTTGGGCCGGAAGCCAGCAACCTGCACTCGAAGTCTTTGTTCCCACTGACATCTTTCTCGTACACTAACCAAACCTATCAACAGGTAAACATTTTCCGCATCACATATGGCAGTCATTATTTATCCCACTAATTCTCCAGCTACCTAATTTCCTTTTGTCAGAGTTCTTAACAATACCCATGATATTCTTACTGATATTATCACTTAGTAAAACTTTCTTAAAAACAAGATTTTGTTGTCCCTCCCCATTCCAACCCCCCCCCCACCCCCGCCGGGGTAATTTAAAGACTAATTAAAAGCCAGCCATAGAAGTTTTTGGAAGCAAGTTAGAATAATGATTTTTTTAAGAGCAGTAAATGGACCCAAACATCCATCAGTAATTCAGGGTGTGAGCAGATAAGCGCAGTCAGGAAGCAGCAGCAGCTGGCACGTGGTGACTTCATGTAGATGACATTCATGTGACGAGGGGCAAAAAAGAAGTGGGGAAGGAGAGCTGAGGCTTGGTCCTGGGTGGGCAAAAGTCAAGTTGCAGATGTTCCAAGTAGTGGGGGTGGGTGGCCAGCACACACTGGATGAGGAGGAGAGTGTCTTAGATGTGTTTTAAGGTCGAGCTCACTGCTTCCTGGGCCATCCACGGGTTACACGGATGAGTTTGGCAGAGGCTTTCTTCTTCCCAAATCTGAAGTCAGACACTGCTTATGGCCTGCCCTTGGAGGGCAGAGAGAGGCATAGACTGCGAGGAGAGAGGATCTCTGGCCAAAGGTGGGAGCTGGAACCCATGCATGGACGGCTTGGGCAGCCGTACTAGTTACTGTGACAGGGGATGTGTCTTTATTTTTCCCTCCCCAGTGTCCAGAAGCGCCCTGATGCAAGCCCACTAAAGCTGTGCTCACTGCTCAGGGTGAGGCTTCTAAGGTGCTCTGGTCCACAAGCGAAACCTGGCAGGCCACAGGCTGACCAGCAGGGATTAGGATGAACCGTGGGGATGTGTCTTTAGAATAGGGCAGTTTCTAGCTACAGGATATGGTTTCCCCTGGAGACTCTATAGCCTGTGAACCTTTTTAAATGTTAACTAGTCTTCATACAACTATCAGCATTTACTTTTTAAAAAATCAAGCAGACAGGTATAAAATGAAAACTAAACCACTCTTATTTAAAACCTTTTGTCATATGTCCCATATTTATTGGAAATTAGGTGGAGGGGAACAGTCCTTATCTGACTTTTGATAAAAATGACTAAATGTTAGGGAAACTCTTGGGGAAAAAACATTAGTGAATAGGTCACGTACAGAGGGTCCCTGACATGATGATTTGACTTTATGATGGTGTGAAAGTGATATGCATTCAGTAGAAACCTTACTTCAGATTTTGAATGTCGATCTCTTCCTGGGCTAGTGATGCAATCAATACTCTCTTGTGATGCTGGGCAGCAAACCGCAGTTTTGTCAGCCTCACAACCACAAAGGTCAACAACCAATACTCCACAGGGTACCGTGTTGCCAGCATTTCCTGGATATCGTGTTTTGTGTTTCCATGTCAACTGCATGACAGTCAACACTTTAACTTTTTAATTTTCAACGACAGTTGACATACAGTATTAGTTTCAGGTGTACAACAGATTAGACATTTATATAACTTACAAGGTGATCACCCTGACAAGTCTGGAACCCATCTGACACTGTATAGTTATTTGATTATATTCCCCAAGCTGTACTTCACATCCCCATGACTATTTTATAACTGCCCATCTGTACTCCTTAATCCCTTCACCCAACATCCTTCCCATCTGGCAACCATCAAAATGTTCTCGTATCTGAGTCTGTTTTGGTCATTTTGATTTTTAGATTTCACATATAAGTGAAATCATATGGTAGTTATCTTTCTCTGACTTACTTAGTATACTATCTTCTAGGTCTATCCATGTTGTCGCAAATGGCAAGATTTCATTCTTTTTTTTTATGGCCGAGTCGTGTTCCATTGTATATGTGTACAACATCGTCTTTATCCAGCCGTGTACTGTTGGGCACTTAGGTTGCTTCCATATATCTTGGCTATTGTAAATAATGCTGCAGTGAACATACAAGTGCAAATATCTTTTCGAATTAGTGTTTTGGATTTCTTCGGATAAATACCCAGGAAGTGAGGTTGCTGGGTCATATGGTAATGTTTTGAGGCACCTCCATACTGTTTTCCACAGCTGGCTGCACCAATCTGCAATCCTACCAACAGTGTACAAAGGTTCCTCTTTCTCCACATCTTCTCCAGTACTTGATCTATTAATGACAGCCATGTTGACAGGTGTGGGGTGATATCTCATTGTGATTTTAATTTGCGTATCCCTGATGATTAATGAACATCTTTTCATGTCTATTGGCTATCTGTATGTCCTCTTTGGAGCAATGTCTATTAAGGTCCTCTGCCCATTTTTAAATCGTTTTTATTTTTGGTGTTAAGCTGTATCATTGGCAAATATCTTCTTCCATTCAGTATGCTGTCTTTTCATTTTGTTGGTTTCCTTCACTGTGCAGAAACTTCTTAGTTTGATGTACCCCCATCTGTTTACTTTTTTCTTTTGTTTCTCTTGCCCAAGGACACATATCCAAAAAAATATTGCTAAGAGATGTCAGTTTACCGTCTGTTTTCTTCTAGCAATTTTATAGTTTCGGGTTTTACATTTAAGTCTTTAATCCACTTTAGTATAAAACAAGCTTTGTGTCAGGTAATTTTGCTCAACTGTAGGCTAATATAAATGTTCTGAGCACGTTTAAGATAAGCTAGGCTAAGCTATGGTGTTTGGTATTAAATGCATTTTCAACTTAATATTTTCAACTTGTGATAGGGTTATACCCATCATCAGTAGAGAAGCATCTGTATATGTAGATGAACTGAGGGGCAAGAGAAGAAGAATTTTCTTATTGGGAGAAAAAGCTTACAAGTCACTTGGACAGATTCTAACTTACCAACGGGAAAGTTGAGTTGAGTCAGGGCAAAGCTGCCACTCCCAGGTCTCGGCACTGCCCCCACCCCCCGCAGTCAGCAAGCACCTTTACCCTACATCCAGCTGTCTCCAAGCTCTGGTCTTTCTGATCAAGGGCAACTGCAATGAAATGTTTTAGAACTGTAGAATGTTCTTTAAGATATCAGGAGACTTCCTCCGTTGTCTTCAAATTTGGAGATTTGTGATTACCTCAGACAAGATTTTAAACATGTGTTTTCTTCCCTTGTTTATCCCATCACATGCATGTCGCAGCTGATCCTCTTTCAGGAAAGGTTCTCTGAGGAGAGTCTGCTCTCTAAACAGAGCCTGACCCTCTCCCCCCATGGTGCTCTGTGTTCTCAGATGTCTTTGCATTCTGTTTAAAATGTCCTTGTTAATACATTCCAAGGTTTGAACTCCATTCCTAGCTAAACCCCTTCCTTGTTTACAGGGACTGAAATAGCCACATTTTGACCTTCTGTTCAGTCTGAGAACATCTATGGCAATGTGGACGCATTCTTTTCCCATGTGAGAATTACATTTACACAGCAGTTATGGAAAAGCTCAGGAAATTATCGACTCCCATCCCCCTCCTTCTCTCCTCCCATATTTTTTATTTCAGATAAAACTTGCTAATCAGCCAGAATTAACCGGGACCCCTCCCCCCACCCTTTCTTCCTGCTCAGGGCACCACTGGGCAAGTATGCAGAGCCCAACATGAGTCTCTAGGCATAGTCTCCTGGCTCTCAGCCTAAGGCATTATCAAGACTAGGAGACCACATCCCTTTAACACCCCATCATTCCTGTTTGATTTGACCTGTAGTCCCAAGTGTCTGAATTTTTGCTATATGCAAGTGACTATATCTGGGATGGAAGAAGGAGGAAATAGTCTTAAGGAAGAAAATAAGCCAAGATGATCCTTGTGAAAGCTAAACAAGTGGTTTGGACAGTGAGAGCTCCTAGACGAGAGTTTGTTGGAGAAAGCCCTGCAGGCCGGAGATCAGGGAAGGCTGGAGAAAGACAGTAGGGTTTGTATATGATGAGGGGGACTGGAACGGAAGGAGGAAGTGAGAATGTGACTAAGCTTTTAGGGGCCTTGAGGGATGTGTTAGGGATTTGGGTCTTGGGGAGGCAGTGGAGAGATGGGAGTGGGGGGAGGATGTTAGGAATCATTGTCATCTAGATGCCCAAGGCAAAATAGACAAAGAGTCAAATCAAAAACACACACCAGGAGAGTCAAACCTGTGAGGGCGCTGTCAGGAAGTAACAATGATCTGAGAGAGCAGAGCTGTGTCAGGGATGAAGCATGAGGGGCCAGGCGTAGGGACAAAGACACCAGGGCAGAGGGGTCAGGAGCTGTGTTATAAGGCAAGGCGAATTTAGACATGTTGCCTTTGAAGTCATGGCAGAAATGTAGGGGACAGC